AAATCCTAACTCTATATTTCGCCTTTCGCCATTCTACTTGTGATTTTATTTCATTTAAATTCTGGGTCTCTCCAAATATTTTATATAAAAAATCTCATTTTCATTTATAACAATGAAAAATAAGTTTTATAAAAAAGAATTTTTTTTCTCGTAACATACTAGATGAGTCCTTAATTCTAAGTAATTCTGTGCTTGTAGTTCATATCAACTAAACTAAAATCTTTAAATTTATATAAGCTCTAATAGTAGTTTGGAGAAGAATCCTTTAAATATGTATAATAATATTATTAATTTATTAATTAAATTAATTAATTAAATATATTTTTTTATATTTTTTAAAATATCTAAGTATTACATAACAATTTTAATTTTTTTATTAGAATTTTAAAATATATTAAAATTTAGTGGGTTACCATTTTTTAAAAAATTTTATTACCCACAGTAGTTACCTTGTGAATTTGCATAAAAATTTGGGTATCATAAAATTTTCTTGTATCTTATTATTTATATAAATTTGGCCACTCAAAATTTAATTTAAAATATGTATATTGCGTTATGTCATTAGTTTTTTAAGTTGTTATGTGAAATACTAACTTAATACAATATAAAATATAAAGAATTAATTACTTTAATTTAAAAAAATAAAAACTAATTTAATACGAATAATAAAATTCGTAAAAAGCAAGGGCAAAAAAGTAAATTTATCCCAATCGTTAAGAACTTAAAACACGTTATGAGGAATGTACCTGAATTTTTTTTTTATTTTTAAAATCTTAGAGTCTAAGATTACGCTTTGGTAAACGACGTCGTTTAGTTCCCTTCTACACATTTGCCCGAGAAATCTGTTCAACTCTCATTCTTCTTTTCTCTTGCGACGAAAAATCAGGAGAGCTCAAGCATAATCCATGGCGAGCGAGAACGAGCCTGCAAAGCTTCTTTTGCCGTACCTGCAACGAGCCGATGAGTTGCAAAAGCACGAACCTCTCGTAGCTTATTACTGTATCTATCTATCTATCTCTCTATGTATATATCTGTCTATGTATCTATTTCTTTAAAGAAAAAATTAGAACCCTAAACCCTGCTGAATATGCTTGAAAACCACACTTTTAGAAGATAATCTCTGTCGATCTCTATATCGTATTTCTGGCTTCCATACGGCGTTTTTTTCCTGATGTTTTGTCATGATTGAATGATGACAATTAGGTCGATTATTTGCGATGGAACGGGGCTTGAAGATTCCTCAGAGCGAGAGGACCAAGACCACCAATTCTCTCCTTATGTCTCTCATTAATCAGCTTGAAAAGGTCTATATTACTGTTGTTGTTATTATTATTATTGTTATTATTATTAAATTTCGACGTTTGAAAGCTAAACTGTTGTTAGTATTGTTAAATTTTTTGTTGGCTAAGCTGACCAAGTAAATTGTTTAATTAACTCATTGGTTTGCAAAGCTGTTTAGCTTAGTTACCCTTTCACATTGCACTAGTACTGAGGCATTGGATCATGTCTGATTGCCTAATCTCAAAGTGCTAAAACAATTGTTGGGATCCGCTTTGCAGCTTGAACTGTATGCATGTTTTGGCTGCCTGTAATGCCCTTACATTGTATTTTATGGTTTACCTTGGTCATACAAGTTCATTGATAGTTTTAGCATGGAGATTTTGAAAGATTGAGCTATCTACACTGGTAAGCCTCATTTTGGTACTGAAAATGTATAGATTTAAGTTTCTTAAGTCCTAAAGATCCTGAAAGATGCTATATTATAGTATTTTTTGGAAGAAATATTGAAACCTAAGAATAGGTTATTTATATCTGTTTCATTCTCTGGAGGAAACAAGTGAGGTGTTATAGCAAACATGTTAATTTTCTGTCAGAGACATGTTTTGCCTTGTTGATATTCTGTGTAATTAGTTGATTTTTGTATATTGCTCCAAATTTCTATTGTCTGTGCTTACTCTTTTTGGTTTCTTGCAGGATAAGAAATCACTGAAGTTGTCACCTGATGACAATTTGCATCTGGAGGGTTTTGCCTTAAATGTTTTTGCAAAAGCAGACAAACAAGATCGTGCTGGAAGAGCAGATTTGTATGAAGATTCTCTTTTTAATTTTTGACTATCACAATAGATGGCACTTGATACTCATGCATTATTGCAATTCCCTGCTTGATATGTGGCACTAATAGCATGCATACTTGTGTCAGTCCTTGTGTTTTGAGCTGTCTTTTGTGCTATCCTTGCTCTACATGTTGACCGAAATGAACAATTAACATGTTTAAAATTTGAACTTTATTCATCTCTTCAAGAACTAGTTGAATATATAGACAAAATGACATGCAAAGCTGTTGGCGGATGGAGTAACCTAGGTTGCAGGCAAGTTCGTCGATATGTTTATAACTTATAGTTTTCTGGTATGGTAATGGTTATGGTTATGGTTTATTTGATATCTTGGACTCAAAACATTGACGGTGAATCACTACCTAGGTACTGGGAAAGTTGACTGGACTTGTTTCAGGTTTTCATTGGGCTATGCCCAACTTAAGTGCATGCAGACACATAAATAAATGAAGGTCTACATATACATGATGGGGTTAAAATGCTTTTATATGTCTCATATGAAATCCTGTGCTTTTCAATATTGAAGCCTTTTGTCTTTAGTGCCTGAATCAAGTTGATATGGGAATTAAGCTTGTTGTGCTTGTGACAGGAATACTGCAAAAACATTTTATGCTGCAAGCATTTTCTTTGAGGTTCTAAACCAGTTTGGTCCTCTCGCTCCTGATGTAAGTTCCTAATAGTATTTTTGTGCTGCTGCTTTCCAATTTTGCACTTCAAGCGTAGTTATGTTTTGAGCGTCTAGTATTGAATGATTTAAGCATTGATGCTTGTGATTTATTAATGATTAAGCAATTCTTGCTGATTATTTTACAAGGTGATATGTTGTCTTCTACTCTCTTATTTAAGTAATACTCACTCTTCATACATTTCTTTACAGCTGGAGCAGAAACAGAAGTATGCAGTGTGGAAGGCTGCAGATATAAGGAAAGCCTTGAAAGAAGGGAGGAAGCCCAATCCTGGCCCTCCTTCTGGTGATGATGATCTATCGGCTTTAGCGAGTACACCTAGCATGGCTCATGTACGTTACTAACTCAGTATACTTACAGTTGCACTCCATGACCCTCTTCTCCTTTTATTGGGAAGGAAAATACTTAGAAATTAATTGGGAAAAAATAATAATCAGAAATTAATTGAAAATATATATGTGCATGGCCACTAATTGAAGAGGGATACACTCACAAAAGGACATATAAAAACAGAACCAATATGCAGATTTTTCAAAGAACCTTAAGATATATATTAGAAGAATTGCTTTTTGGGTCATAACCTGGTGCATATGTGCATATACTAGAGTTACCTTTTCAGTGGTCTTCGAGCCAATAGCTTTTATATTCTGCCCTAAAATGTTCTTGAGGGTGAGATAAGATAAGGCACTGTTTAGAAAATATGAACAACTTTTGCTGAATTTTTATCTGAAAATACGTATTTTTCTGATAAATTGAAAATATGTACTAAGTTCAATTAAGATATGATGAAGTTTTTACTAGAAGAAAATGAAGATGACTCTTACGAAATTTAAAGTGGAACTAAAATGGCATTCCATATTCTGTTTATTTTTCTAGATTTTGAATGCATTTTGTCAATTATACTTGAAATTCTCAAGAAGGTTTGTTGGAATTTTTACCATCTCGTAATTACATTAAACGTGAATATTTTAGTAAATTCTTCAAATAAAGTTCATTTCTTCCAAAGATGGCTTAAGAACAAAATTTTAGGCTTTTTTTTTAAATATGAAAATATTTTTAAATTTTCATTTCCTGCATTTGTTTTTTTGTCTACACTTAATGTGACAGCCCCTGCACTGTTCTAATTACATTAAGATATAATATCCACTATTCTGTCCAAAACAATGTATTTAGAATATTCAACCAATTCTCTTAGTCATTAACCATAAGGTAAGCGAGTCTCGTTACAACAGATACAACTCTATGTTCAAAGAAATTCTACAAACATAACCAAACACGTGAAAGTTCTGCCACTATTTTAATATAGTTAGTTATACTATTATGTCTCAATATCAATGATAATATCCTGTTTTCTTTAGGTTTGGTGCTCTGTTGCTAAGCACTCCGGTTCCGATTCCTGCCTCAAAGCATTTGAAAATAAAAGTAATGAGTATATATAATCCAGTAAGATAAAATTTAAAACTAAAAACTAAAGAATGACAATCAGCTAAACCCACTCCCCACTATCATATATCTAGTTCGTTTCAAACACTATTCATCTCTTCCTTACTAACTACCCTCTCTTCCCACTCAATACCTTCCTCACGCCCACACTTAATTCCGATCATTAGCTACTACCTCTATCACTCTATTTTCCTCCTACTATGCCAACAAATGACCGGCCCGACTTCCTTCTACCTCCGCACTAACCCTCTACCGTTAGCCCCCTCAACCCACCAACCACAGAACGTGAAAACACTCTACATTTTTGGCCCTAGTAACATACCAATTCAATACCAAGTCACCAGTCAATACATCACTCGTACACCCTCCCAACACAACCAACCAGTCTCTCACATTCCAATATGCCAATACCGGCCCACGGGGACCACACACGTACACCA